TTAATTTAGAGAAGGCTGGGGCTACCGCGGTACTATTTTTGAACTCTTACTATATGATGCCGAGTCTTCAAATTTTAAAGCATGATATGTGATGCCCGAGTCTTAAAATTTTTAAGCTTGGTGTGTTTCTTTTCTTGTGATTGAACGCACCCAATCTATTCCTTGTGATGGCTTTCGCTTTATATGACTTGAAAAGGATCAAATTGAAGGATAATGAACTGTCTAGTTCATATTATGTGACAAATTTAGTGTCATCTTTGTCTATGCTGGACAACACTTGCAGGTAGTTCCCGAGACGTTGGAACCCAGCTTACAGTTAGCTGCTGCTGTTCTTGCTCAGGTAATTGCATTATTATAATAAAGTAATACAGTACTGATGAAAAACAATCACTCGATTGTTTGTAGTATTCTTCATGCTTTCTGGATCTCAAAAGTTGATGGACTGTTTTCCTTTTAAGGCTAAACTACCCACATCAGAGATTGCTGCAACAATTAACGAGTTTAGGTCTCGGCATTTATCCGAGCTTACCGAGGTACTTTGTCGTAGTTGTTTCCACATACAAATCTATGATTGATGCATCAGATATGGGTGATGGGTGGGACTTGAACTTACAGTTGTAGTCTGCATTTGTAGCTATGTGAAGCCAGTGGAAGTTCACTCGGATACGGGTTTTCTCGAATCATGAGTAAACCGAAAGTTCAAACCTCTGATTCCTCGGACGAGAATCAAGTCAGTGAAGGAACACTGGCCATATGATATCAGTGGTCCATGAGTTTGCAGGCAAGAGAAAGAAAGAAAGAAGAGGAGGAAGAAGAAGAAAAAAAGGTTGATTTGCTATAAAAGTGTACAGAAGAAACTTGGTGTTTGAAAAGAGGGTTAACAATAATTAAGTGTCGTTGATCACCACATTTTGTTCTATAATTTTGCTTCATTTTACCCATGAAGATGCTCTGCTTGGAACTTTTTTAACCCTCTACTACATCACCCATAGGAACATCACTATTCAAATTACACTCCAAATTTTGATCTATCACTCCATATTTTGTTAATTATTATTATTATATATAGACTGCATTTTTTGACATTATTTCTCAATTTTCTTCCTTTGTAAATTTTTATTCAATTTGAATTTATCCATAATAGACATATCGAAATTATTGTACGTCAAATAACATTAAAAGTGTTGGTTTCAAAAGATGGAATGTTTAATGTTTTTTCACGTGGAGAACTCATTGGATTGTTGCGAGTGGAACAAATAGGGTGTGTTTTGGAATAAGCGATTTGTTACCGAGTCGTATAATTGAGAATAACAAAAGCATCTCTAAATACTCAAAGTTTCATATTGGAAGCAAGTTTTCAAGAAACTGCTCGAGTTTTAGCAAAAGCCTCCCTTTGAAGTCGTATCCATTGGTTGAGAGGTCTAAAAGAGAACGTTGTTTAAATGGTGTCCCTCTTTTTGGGCCTTTGAATCCACAAGTACTAGCAGAGGACCAAAAAATTACCCGATCTCGTAATTTATAATAATCTAACGTTTTAAATAAATAAAGAGTAATATTAATATTTTAGGTGTGAGGTGTTCTTGATTTGATTTTAGAGTAGAATTGAGTTGAGATTAACATTGGTTAGTTTTTTTTTTTATAATTTTTATTAAAATTAAAATGTTATTGTATAAAATATCTATTTATTTATTTATTTTATACGTTGAAATAAGATTTATATCTTAATTTCAATATATATGTAAAAAAACTACATTCCAAGTCTAATTCAAATAAATTTTATTTTTCAATAATTAAAAAAGCAGCCTCCTACTGGGAACTGTTGAGGTTAATAGTCCGTGTTCGCGCCTCAAGGGATTTATTTTCTCTTAGCCCACCCGTCCCGCTCAATACCTCACTCTCAAGAGTCCCGCGCCGGCATTCCTCCGCCGTACTCTCCGCCGTCCTCTACGTCGGTGCCTCCTCTCCTCCGCTCTGCAGCTCTATAGTTCCTTAGCAAAACGTGCAGATTTTTCTTACGCCATTTTCTAATGGCGTCATCGATGAAATTCACAGATTGCTCTCCTTGCGCCACTGTCCGTCTTGTTCCCTCTACTCGAACCAGGCTTCGAAACTCCGATGGCGCTGGTCTCTTTCACCGTCTTCTTGGCCTTTCTCTCTGTGTGCCTCTATTCTTGTTTGTTTATGAAAAAGTATAGTGATGATTTTTTATTTAGAGTTTCATGTTTTGAAGATCTTGCTTCTCATTTTCATATAATTTTGCTTCTTGAGCTTGTGGAAACTCTGGAATATTTTTGCGTTGATTTTAGGCTACTTGCAAGCTATCTAACTTCCAGAGTAATTGATGCTGAAATGGTGTTCAATTGTTTTAGTTTTATGTTTGCTTTGCAACTTCTAAAGAACTTATGTGTGTAGAAATCAGATTAATTTTTCTTTCTTAGAGCAGCGGATAGCTTCTTTTTTTTTCTTTTTTTTTTTTCTCTTTTACTTGCAAAGGATTCTGGACTCTAATTTTCTTTTTATTTCAGCTTCAATTTCAACCGAGGCGACTGCGGAAGTGATAGATGGAAAACTGGTGGCGAAGCAGATTAGAGAGGAGATTACTGCCGAAGTATCTCGAATGAAGGGTGCCATTGGTGTTGTTCCAGGCTTAGCAGTCATCCTTGTTGGAGATAGGAAGGATTCTGCAACTTATATACGAAATAAGAACAAAGCTTGTGAATCTGTGGGTATTAAATCTTTTTAAGTAAACTTACCTGAAGATTGTACCGAGCAAGAAGTACACAAGTATATATCCGACTTCAATGATGATCCATCTGTCCATGGCATCCTCATTCAATTACCTTTTCCTAAAGTATGTTTACTAGAACTTCATTTCTTTTGTCAAATAATGATCTTATCGGAATTTACTATACTATCTTAGCATATTACTAATGGCACTCTAATTTAAATTATCTGTATCTTAATAAGCCGTGTTCTATGTAAATTTATATGATCATCATGTCAAAAATTATATGCTTCTTGACTTTATGTTTTCGTTGATTTGGCAGCATATGAATGAACAGAATATATTGCATGCTGTTAGCATTGAAAAATGTGTAGATGGATTTCACCCACTAAACATCGGTCGTCTTGCAATGAGAGGTGAAGAACCATTGTTTGTCCCATGTACGCCAAAAGGGTGTATTGAATTGCTGCATAGATATAACATTAGTATCAAAGGGAAGAGAGCTGTTGTAATCGGTCGAAGCAATATTGTAGGAACTCCAGCTTCTCTTTTGCTTCAAGTGAGATTTTGCTCGTTAATGTCTTATATGTTTATCATTCTATCAAACTCCATTTATTGACTTCAATTCCTACAATATTACTGATTTAGATTTTGTCTTGTAACATTTGTCATCTTAAGTAGGGAGAAGATGCAACTGTTAGCGTCGTTCATTCTCGGACCAAGGACCCCGAAGAGTTAACAAAACAAGCTGATATTATCATCTCTGCAGTTGGTAAAGCCAATATGGTTAAGGGAAGTTGGATCAAGCCTGGAGCAGTTATTATTGACGTTGGAATTAATCCAGTAGAGGTGAGCTAAATAGCTTTTTTTGGGAGTGAGTTCTCTCTATCCCGATATCGTTTCTTATCTAAAATTACTAAGACACTAATTTATATCGATTTCATCTTTGCGGTGTGTCTATGATCATATGGCTAAACTGAAATCTTGTAGCTTGTTTTGAACTACATTCAATATTTCACTCTTGTTGTTATCATCATTGTGTGACAGGATGCAAGTAGCCCTCGTGGGTATCGTCTAGTTGGAGACGTTTGTTATGAGGAGGCCATCAAAATTGCTTCAGCCATTACTCCCGTACCCGGGGGAGTCGGGCCAATGACGATAGCGATGCTGCTCTCCAACACACTTACAGCAGCAAAAAGAACACATAACTTCCAGTGAAACTTTGGAAGTTTATTATGATTTTACAGAAAGCTTCCCTTAGCAAGGACTAAGCGGTGAAATAACCCCATGTGAGCACACTTCTTTTCAAGTCATTTTATAACCTTTTTTTTTTACTCTTTATGGAGAATGACTTGTGGAAATTGTTGTGTGTTTTAATTAACCACAGGAACACATTTTGTAGTTGCATTTAGAAATTAATGAACCAAACTGATCTAATCAGAAATCAGCCGGTCTGTTTGGCTGAGTTATTAGTCTGTTTCAATTTAGGACAGCTTGATGGAAATAATTTGCAGCCATTTATTTGAAATGAATCTACTCTGATTGACAATTATATTTGATTTACTTTTGACGTTAATTTTTGTAATCATTAAATTATTGTTCTTGGATTTGTTGAGTAATCATTCAACTATATTTAATGTTAAAAAAAATCTATTTTTACCCATTAATTGGTTAGGTTTTATCTATTTTGAATGAAAATGACATAATAGGTAAAAAAAATATTGTTAAAATTTGAGTATTTCAACTATGAATTTTTGCATATATTATTAGGGAGTTTACACAAATTTGTGAGTATTGACTCCTTAACTGAAATTGATAGGATATAATTGACGTAGGTGCATTCTTGTTGGAAGAAGCGTGAAATCCCATGCCAACGTGAACTGCAATAAAGATCTTTGGTGATGGTCAATTTCTCACAATCAAAGAGTGCGTCCGCGGAAGAACTATCGAACAAGCTCTTTTATGGAGAGGCAGGTAAGCGCTTCTATCTTCTTAACCTTGAAATGACAAATAGTTTGAATGAAATATATAGATATATCATTATGGGTCAAAATATTAGTAACGATTTAGAACAGTAGTTTGAAATAAAAACCGAAAACGAGAAAGAGAGCACATATTTGGGACAAATAGTGATTGGAAATGATATATAGCATTCAGTGTGCTTTATTCCAGCTTCTCCTCTCACCGAAAGAAACTATGGCACATTGTGTTTCCATGCTCCAATGGGGCATAGAAATAATGTGTTGAATTGCCTTAAAACAAACCCAAATTGGTTACAAATCAACTTTGGAAGCAAAAGAGAGAAAAAATAGCTCAAACAACAACAAAAAAATAAGAAAGCCAAGGACTCCCAAACTCTGGTGAATGGAAGCAGAATGAAGGCATTTTAAGTTTCTACAGCCCCTTCCTCGGACTGAGCTTCGGCGTTGCCCTTGGCCTCATCTTCCTCCGCTGATTCGGGCGGCGGCGTGGTGGCCTTCTTGTTTGCAGCAGCTTCAAGGACATGGTTGTAGTTGCCCTTGATCATGAAGAGCTGAGCAAAATGATGCTTGCAGTACAACACTCCATCAAGAGCAGCATAAGAGGAGTGTGTCAAATTGCACCCACCATGAGCACACCTGAAGCAAGTCTTATGGTAACATTCCCCCTCAAGAGTCACCTGAACCATACTTTTAATTATCCAACAAATCTACTAACATTCTACCTATAATTTAACAAAACAAAACAAAACCAAATGAAGAACTATAGACCTTCTCCAATGGATAAACCGTCTTCGAGCAGGCCGAGCATTTGTCTTGAGTTCCAGAGAACATGGAGGACAGTTTGCTAGGAGCCCTCGATTGCTACACATTTTGAAAGTTACCGAGCTACGTAATTAATATCCGAATTGCATTTGATGGTAAACTAAAACATGAATTATAGAAGACATCTCGTGCTTTCAAGCATGTTCGGGAGTGATCTTGAGAAATAACGATTCTTGATAGTACTATAATATATCATGTTTCAAATCGTTATGGAACGGTCCAGAATGGGAACATACCATATCATTTTGCTTCTCGGAAGGCTTGGCTGTTGCCAAAAATATAATGAGAATGAGAATGATAGAAAAATAGGTAAAATGATAAGAGATGGAAAAGAAAAAACATTACAAGTTTGAAAATTCTTGCTGAAATTTCCCGATTCCTTGAAGAGTTGCTCAAAATGAGGCTTGCAATACAGGACACCATCCATCCATGAGTAACTACTCATCTGTCGTGAAAGACGATTTGGGTCAAAGATTGATCATATCAAACGAACAAAAGAACGAAAAGTGTAAATCGAGACATACGGAAAGAGTGCCTTTGCAGTGGCTACATTTGAAGCAAGACTTATGGTAAGGATTGCCTTCAAGAGAAAGCAACTCAACCACATAAACAGTCTTGTCACAAGCCTTGCATTTGTCCAATGTTCCAGTGAATGACATCTTTATTCCTTCTCGATTTTTCGTCTACGACAACGATTCGAGCGATAGCTCCTCGAGAAACTGCAAAAAAAAAAAAAAAAAAATTGCAAGTTGTCTGAGGATGAGATCTCAGACAAGATTATGAAAAGAAGGTAAGTGAAATGGGATGGATGAGAAAAGAGAATGGGAATTAGTGCTTTGGATTTGTTGTGTTATAAAAAGCTAAATTTAAATACATAAGATTATGTTGGAAAGAGTGCTTTTTTTGTATCCTAAAGCTAAAACTTTGTGGTTGCAGATCTCCAATTTCGGACATTGTCAGATGTTTTTTTGAGGGGAATAGGGTTTCCTTCTTTGACCATTTCAAACCTAATCATTTTTTTTCATTTGGAAAACCCTAATTTGGATGAATGGTCATGATTTTGCATCTCTTCTAAATGCTTAATTTGGATTTATTGCAATACTTTTCATTCTTTATTTCTTTTTAATATTAATTTTTCTTATGGGTTTGAAACTTTGCTGAGAAAACTTAATGTTTAAACTTTGCTGATTAAGATAACCCTTGGAATAAACATTTCAAATTTTATGATCATATGGACATCTATCAATTATCTTTTTTATAGATTATGTGTCATATGGGTATTTATAAAAGATGTAGAAATAGTGACGTCAAATCATCATTCCATTATAGATATATTGACCAAAAGCAAGATTGTAGACAATTAAATAATGAGTGCTAAAGATAGACTCCGGGAAAATTTTAGCTCGAATATAGTATCAAGAACATGTTACAAAGATTTTCTAATACAATAGTACTGTGATTTTTAATACAAGTGAATGTTAAAACAGTAAAAATAAAAAGCGTTCCAGAATCAATCCAAGCACGGTGTGTGAGTCACATTAGAGGCTAGAAGCTCCCGATATGTGAAGAATGTGCCTGGTAAAGCGATGCCAATGTTGATCAATTAATTGCAGCTTTAAACGAAGATTCGAAAGAAACATAGGACCGGAGTGGTTGCACCACCGCAATGGCTGAATAAAAACCTTCAAATAAGGACACCGCTAAGATCAATTCCACCGACCATCAATGACATTATGTCACCCAACTTTCAAAATAATGTATGTCTGAATGGTTTAAATTTTTCCTAAAATAATAAGTATTGATTATTAATTAACTTGTAAATACAAACTTGATATTGCAAATTTCTCTCGAAAAAATAAAAAATAAAAAGTGAAAGTTAAATGTTAAAAATAAAATTATCAAAAACTTAAATCATGAAAACTCTTTAAATAGCTCAACTAGTCAGAGTAGAGAAAGATCATTGAATTTGAAAGACTATATCGAATCAAACTCTTTCAGCTGTCTTCCTAATCTTTGAAAACCATAGTTAAAACTGGAACTTAAATATTGCATTGAAGCTCAACACTTCAAATTGCAATTACTTCAGTTTCAACAACGAGAGAAACGGAAGAACGAAATAAAACCGAGAACTCGATTCGAAATTTGAAAGGCAAAACAGAGTTATTAAGATTGGAGAGATCAGAGTGTGCTTATATGGAAATTCAGTCACGGTTAATTCAGAAACACGGACCAATGTATCGCATCATATCTCAACCAAACTTCAAGAATATCAAAGAAAACCACATCATAGACTTAGAGAAGCCGATGAGATTTAGGAAAAAATGAGTGAAAAATCATTCAAAATACTCGCAGGACAAAGTGAAGAGCATCAGAGACTTAAATATGAAAGTAATCACGAAATACTTCGATCATTTTGTTGCAGTTATTTTCCTCATCCTCTGCAAGATACTTTGTCCCGCTACCTATAAAGAAAGAAGAAACTAAAACGGTGACAAATATTCGGATCACCGGCGGGGATAAATCGACGATGAGTGCGAAGACAAGATAAAACAACGAAAGAGAGAGGGAGAGAGGGAGAGAGAGAGAGAGTCGAAGGAGTAGATGAAACCATTGAGCCGCTTTAAAGGGTTATTTATAGGACTCTGCGTGGGAGCCCTAGAAATTAGTTGAGTTTTATATGGGCCTTTCGTTCGGCCCAAATATATGGGCTTAGCCCAGTACAGAAAGTATTTGCGTATTTTTTCCGATTGATTCTGTAAGCACTAAAATTGTCTGAAATTGAGCAGCGAAGGAGGTTGAGAGGAACGACAATGGCGAAACCTTCTTCTTCAGCAACTCCTTCTTCTTCAGCAACTCCTTCTTCTTCAGCAACTCCTTCTTCTTCAGAAACTCCTTCTTCTTCAGCAACTCCTTCTTCTTCAGCAACTCCTTCTTCTTCAGCAACTCCTTCTTCTTCAGAAACTCCTTCTTCTTCAGCAACTCCTTCTTCTTCAGAAACTCCTTCGTTAATCTTCGACTCTCCGACGATTCAGATAAAGGATATGTCTGAAGAGGACCTACGCGGGACTATAGAATTGCTCAATGGATTGAGCGGTTCCGGCCAAATTCCGGACGATTGCAACACCAAGGGATTCTATTCCGATATCATTCGCGGTCATCTCTGGCAGCGCCGCCTCGAACGAGGCCGTCTGACCTACCTCCTCTCCGTCAAACCTGCTGTATCCGTAATTTCTTAATTCTCCATCCAGATTTGTTTTCTCATCGAATTTAGGAGAAATTTGGTATGCGGTTTCTAATACTGTGCGTTCCTTGTGTTGCGTCTGATTTGAATCGAAACAATATCTTGCGGAACTTGAAATTCGATGTTTGATTTGAATCGAAGCAATATCTTTGAGTTCTTGAAAATTCATGCTGAGAAAATTTGGTGCCTGATTTGAATCGAAACGGTATCTATTGGATCTTGAAAACTTAGTATCGGTCTGTTTGAATTTTGATTGCTGAGATTTTTCAAATTCTCTTCATCTGCTTCTATCAGCTTTCGGTCAATATTGTTTCCATTCACATTAAACAGAGATATCTATTGTATAATTTCAGAATCGCTATGGTTTTCTACATGGAGGATTTGTTGCTGCGGCTGCTGAGTTCTCATCAATTGCTTGTGCCCGAACTGTCATGGCAGAGGATAAGGAGTTATTTCTTGGGGAACTAAGCATCTCTTATCTCTCAGGCGCTCCACGAAATGTGAGTAAAATTTAAGTTACTGTTGTGCTTCCTCCTGATTATTTGAGTAGGTTAGTTAAGTTGACCGAATTGTCTACCGAATTGACCAAAACTGAATCGAACCTAAAGAATCCAACAAAACTAACCAAAATTGAAATGAGCTAGTTGAACCAACAAAATCCGAACGAATCATCAAGAATGACACTTCAAATTGAATGAACTGAATTGGTTAATTCAGCTGGTTTTCTTGGGATTTTATTTTTTCTGTTTCGAAAGCTGGGAAGTTTATAATAGAAATTGAATGTTGAGATTTCTCAGATGATAGAGCCCTGAGAAACTGAGAATGTTTTCCTGGACCAGCAAACTTTTGGGTACCCATGCATGGGCTGAAGGGTCGCATGAATCTGTCTGTGGCCTATAAATTTGGATGGGACCACTTATCTTCTTATGATTTGAAACTCATCCTACCATTGTGCTTAATTGTTTATTATTGGTTGGGGTATTCACTTCCAACAATCTTGCCCTTCATAAGTTTTCATCTGGATTCTGAGTTTCTAATTGAGGGCACTCTCATTGAGGGATTAAGAATTAAACGATAATTGTCAAAACTTTATAATATTCTTGATGTCAACATCAAAACTAGAACCCACAACTGGGACCGAGTTCGCTTGGGTGTTATAGGATGGATACAAATATAGTAGTTTGTATGATGTGAATAAGAACGGTCTTAGCGTATAACATAGAAAATTGTATGACCAAACAAATAGGACAGAGTAAACATAGTTTTGAATGTTCAAGTAGCTTTACTTATGATGATAATATCCAAGCTTGACATACATTTTACTCGATTATTTGTCCCGGCCTCGATACTTTAGCAAGGTGCGTTATTTATAAAAAAAACCGTTCTTGCAGGCAGAGGTCATAATCGATGCTTCTATTTTAAGGAGTGGAAAACATTTGAATGTAGTTGCTATAGATTTCAGACTTCAAAAGACAGGAAAGTTGATCTACACAGCTCGTTCTACCCTTTATAACATGCCAATGGCAAAGTTGTAAATATCTCCAACAATCTCGAGTTTGTATTCAGGTTGAATAATCGTGTCAAATGTATTTACTATTGCAAAGTTGGAAAGAGTAGGGAAATGTATGGATTAGATGCTTTTGATTATTGTCCTTGTATATTTATTTACAATTTGTAGGAAAAAAGTGGAAGCTTTGGTTCAGTTTTGCAATCAATGGTGAACCTATTGATAATTGAATTAAATAAATAATAATATTTATACATTAGTGGATGCATCAACTTATAGTTTATTATTTACAATCTGACATAATATAAATATAGACAAGAAATAGTTTCATAAATACAATTCAATTACGAATGCCATCAAGTTCTTAATAGTTTTAGTGTAAGTATGGTTACGAGGGTTCAACTGGAGCTGAGAATCTTACCAATTAACCATGAGAAATCCATGCATTTTTTAAAACTAATATCATGGTTGTTAGCAGCCCCGACTTTAACACCAGGAGAGAAGAAAGAGAAGAAAAATCATAGAAAGTGTCGCATTCACAAGAGTCTCATGTTTTATGTTTATTGTGAGATTCCGCATTGAGAGGATAACGATAACGAAACATTCCTTATAAACGTGTGAAAATTTCTCCCTAACAGATTTCACATCAGTTAAAGATGAGAATGCCTAAACAGTCCAAAGTGTGAAAATCTCTCTCTGTGTGACAGCATTGACGCTGAGCCTCCAAGAGAGTGAATGGTGAGATCTCGCATCAGTTAAAGATGAGAATGCCTGGTGTGACAGGATGAACTTTTAGATCTACATTCCTTATAAAGGAGTGGAAAAGATCTCTCCCTATGTGACAGCATTGACGCTGAGCCTCCAAATGAGATTCACATCAGTTAAAGATGAGAATGCCTAGTGTGACAGGGTGAACTTTGAGATTTACATTCCTTATAAAGATGTGGAAAAAATCTCACATTTGTGAGAATGAAACATTCCTTATAAAGGCGTGGAAACCTCTTCTCTCACATCTGTTAAAGATGAGAATAAAATATTCTTATATCTCACATATGTTAAATATGAGAATGAAATATTCTTGATAAGAAGATAGAGAATGAAACATTGCTTATAAGAGTGTGGAAACCTCCTCATAACAGGCGTTTTAAAATCTTGAGGGAAAATCTAGAAGAGAACGCTTGGAAAGAACCATATTTGCGAGCAGTAGACTTGAACTTTTATAATTGTGCTCAAAAAAACCGGTATATTAATACTTCTTAATTACTTAACTAAGACTTCATAATTTCACTTAATAATGGGTCAGCATGCTCAATAATATTAGAGGTAAACTGGGTGGCTTATGCATTGCTAACAGTGTGGAATGCCTACACATGTGGCTTAAGAAAATAGAGCAAGTTAACAAGGTAGGATGGCTAAAATAGTAATGCTTACATTCGGTGCCCCTGGAATAACTTTGCCCACAGCTTTCTTACATGCTATTAACTCTTCCATCAGGCTATAAAGAACGCACACCGGAATCCAAGTTGAAGGTCAGTTTCGTTCCCCTTCCCTGCCAAAAACGCTGAAACATTCTTCTTTAATGCATCCTAGGATCATTTTGATCAATGTATTACAAGGTTGATCAAGCATTGCAGATTATTTGGATATGGAAATATAGAATTCAAAACCAATGGAATCTAAAACATCTCTTTCATCATATTTGCCTTGTTAGGATCACACAACAACGCACACACTCGATCTAAATGAACACAAAGATTTGTATTGATGATTTCAAGTATGTGAGAGAATACAGAGAACACTCGATCTAGATAAACACAAAGAACCTGATAAAGAAAATGCAAGGATAATTTTTACTAAAAGATCTGTATGGATGACATCAAATATGTGAGAATACAGAGAATAAGTGTACATTTTCATAGCTCATATATATATATATGGTTCAGCTTACTCTATATAGTTTTAACAGATATAACTATCTACTATATATAATTATTTACCATCTTTTTACCATTTTTTTTTTAATGTACATACCTATTTATTATTTACTAACCTATATAGCTTTACACTAAGTTATAAATAACAGCAAACTTCATAACCTAACATACCTATCATAAAAAAACTACAACTTCAAAATTAAATCAGAGTTCTACGATTCTGCTAAAACCTAAATGAATATAAAATCTTGGCAAGTGAAACTTCTTCAAAATGAAAAGACATCTAAATTTCTCAGTTGTGCCACTAGTGCTGGATTTAACTGTAAACTTAATAATTATTAATTCATTCCGTGTGGTAAAATCTTCCATGATAGAAAGCAGGGCATTCAAACAATTTGGAACTAATTACCTTTGTTTCACTACTCGATTAAAGCTTACCTGCTGATGTGGTCACGCAAGCTCTCCACGATCTTAATGGTGCGATCCTTTGCCCGAAATCAGACACAAATAATGCCTACAAAATTTTCAACACAACGATTAGTTATAGTTTTTTACTCGGCTCACGAATGAATGGCATAGCAGCAGGTAAGCTTTCAATATATAAAAGAAGTACACTCTGGAAAGTTTTCAAAAGACTCCAATATTAAAAGCAGTACCTACCTTTATCAATATATAATGGCATAGCCAAATTGCAAAACATTCGAGCCATACAAAATTTCAGTTCTGAAAGAGTATAGGATTTAGGTTCATTTTCGTAAATAAAGATATGAGAAAAGTTTACGAGAAAACAAATATAAACGAAAATCGCATTACACCTCGGTTGAATTTACACACTGGAAAAGAAAGCTTAAGATAATAGTAGATTAGTTTTCACAAATTTGAGTTCAAATAATCCAATAACTCATGATCATAACTATTTTCCTTTCACTGACACAAACATAAAACTAAAGAGAATACAGACCTCTTCGAGTTCGTCGAGAACTCCGTCGATTTCCGCGAGGTTCAAGTACAGAAGAAGCTCATCGATAACAGCAAGATTGTCACGAGTCTTTGAGAAGCCAAAGAAGAAACAAATATAAACTAAAATCGCATTACATCTCGGTTGAATTCATACACTGGAAAAGAAAGCTTAAGAGAACAGTAGATTAGTTTTCACGAATTTGAGTTCAAATGATCCAATAACTCATGATCATAACTATTTTCCTCTCATTGACACAAACATAAAACTAAGGAGAACACAGAAAAGGAGCAGAATACAGACCTCTTCGAGTTCGTCGAGAACTCTATCGATTTCCGGGAGGTTCCAGTACAGCAGAAACTCATAGATAACAGCAAGGTTGTCACGAGTCTTTGAGAAGCCAAAGAAGACCTTCTCGACATCGCTTTTGGCCTTCTCCTTGAGCAGCCTGCCAAGCCGAGTGAAGAATTCCGTCTGACCGGCAGAGCATCTGAAACAAGAACCACGGTCGTGGCTTCGGGTTAGCAGCCGGAGAGAATTAAGCTTCGAGGTGAAGGGCTCGAGAGAAATGAGAGTTTGATAGAATGAGGCCGCGGCCTTAATTACTTTAAGAAACCAGATGGATAAACCACTTTCAGAAATGTCATTGAACGACGTCGTTTAATTTCATGCTTTTCTATTCCTTCAAACGTCGTCGTTATGGCTAGCATAGATGATAGAACTATGTCCCCAAGCCCAATAAGAAGGCCCAAATCATCTCCTAAAAAATAAAACAAATAACTAAATAGATAATCATTAAATGAGGCTTAAATGGATAGTTAATTACAATTTAACCCTTTAGTAACCGTTCATTTCTTTAAAGACAAAGGACATTAAAGACATATCCTAATTAAAATATTTAAATCTCTGGACATTTGTGAAATTAGTTCCATTAATAGCCCATTCTCCTAATTATTTTTTTTTAAAAAAAGCCCAAATAATCGGAAAATCCATATAGATTAAGAGTAAGAACTCCAGAGAGGAACGCCGATCACTACGCCACCGCAAATCCGGCGGGAACTCGCCGTCTCCGCCACCGGGACTCCAACCATTGCTTTGGAAGTTAACGCCGGTTCCGTTTCCGGTTCCGATTCCGATTCCAGTGCCCTAACTCTCACCGAAATGTTAACAATTCCATTTCGTTCACCACATCGATCTCTCAATCTATAACTCAGTAAATGCAAATAATTTTCCGGTCTATACCGTCCGAGAAAATCCGATACCGGAACGTTCGCCGTTCCGACGATCCTGTTCCTGGAAATAGATCCACAATGCACCTCGATCGTCAAGAACATTGCATCCACCGGAATCTCCATCAACATTTTCTCATTCCAGAACGGATAACAGCCGCCTCGCTCATCAATTTCCGTTCTTCCGCCGCCGCCGCCGCCGATGCTCTGGCGATCGAACTTCACAGTTACGAATGTCTTCCTCTTCACACTTTTCCGATCGATTCTTAAATCCTCCCCTGAGATGACGGTGATTTCAATACTCCGAGACGACGTCGTCGCCATGGAAATTGACCAGAACAAAATTTCTCTCGCCGAAAAACGAAGATTCTGCTGTCGGAGAGAAATTGGAGGGAGTTTATAGGCGAATTCCGGTTGGAATTTTGGGGGAAAAAACGATCAGCTTAATGTCCGACGTCACGGCGATGACGTCTGGAGGCTGACAACTTGAGACAGAAATGGTAGTAATTGTAAATTAATAAATCAATTTTTTAGATTTAAGCTGTGGAAGAAATAAAATGTTTATTTATTATCAATGTTTTTTAAATGTAAAAGTATATAATAATTATTTATGTCTTTATTTTCGCTTTTTTTTTTTCATAAATGAGATTATTATTTTATGATTGAAAAAAATATATAATTTTCCGTCTCTAAACTTTTAAAAATTATATTTTTATTTTTACATTTTAATTTAATTTCTATAATTTATATTTGTAAAAGAATTATGGCATTGCTTTTAAGGGATAAAAATAAAGGCAAAAGGAGGGAAAAAGGCGTGTGAAATTGGAATTTAATTAGAAATTAAATTGTCGGCTGTCGTTTATTAGAGTCAATAAAATAAAATATTAACTTTTTTCAGTGATAAATAACGATAATGTTTAAACCATCCATATTGTTCTTTTTTTTTTAATTATTATTATTATTATCCAAAATTCCACAGCCCCATATTTAATTTAATTTAGTAATTAATAAAGACCGTGATTTTTTTAATTAAACATGATTTAACTTCTAATTTTCATTAATAAATTGCAAGACTTTAATATTTTTAAAAAATAATAGGGATTAAATATATTTAAAAAAGTGGAAAGGAATTTACTTCATTAAAAGCTCCAATGTGCCAAGAAAACTCTCCGGGGAACAAGTCAATATATACAGCGATATAAATTTTGTACTTTAGCTTTTGGATTGGACTATTCAATGGAGAATAAACTCAAAACAATCAACGGCTGTGATTTGGTCAAACGTATGATGTCACCCAGGTGTTGTCATTGATGCGAGTTTCGTTTCATTTTAATATACTAGCTTTGAGCTCGGTAACATTATGATCATTGACATCATTTTTCGTTAGTTGGCGTTTTTTCATACTCTCTCTTCTTGATCTAACTACTATCTTCGAATAGATCGAAGAGTTGAGAAATTAGTGAAAAAGAGATTTTTCTTTATTAAATAAACACAGACAAAGCCTGTAACAAAGACGAGGTTATATTATCCGTCCCTATCCCCCTACGAGAGTATATTATAATATTAAAATTTTTGTTTTGGAAATTACCCCGTTTTAAAGAAGAAGAAAAAAAAGAATAATCTAAAAATAAATGACAAAAAAAAAAAAAAAAACTTGCAAAGGCGTTGATTACATCACCCGAAAGACGTCACCGCAATAGGACACCACGCCAATGGTAGGAATTCCATGCTGACAGTTATTTTATTTAAATATATTATGTCTTTTTTTTCCAACCTACACAAATTCTTTATTTATATATCATTGCATGTTGCTATGCCATTGCCTAGAATATGCTTCACCGTTTCTTTAAAATAATAATAATAAATAAGGCTTATAAATAGGTTAAAAAATGACTTTTAAGTATTTTAAAATATATATTTTCATTTAAAATACATTTCAAACATTTAGTTTTAAAATTTTTAACATAAAATATACATACATTCAATTACAAAAAAATTTAAATTTTAAATTAAGATTTAAAATATATATTTCATAAAAAAAATTAAAAAAAAAAAGGATTGAAGTGGCCCTAAAAATTAACTGATTAAAATTACTTTTTAGTTCAAATAATATTTTGAATTTATTTAAATCTCTATTTTTTATATTATGTTTGAGACTTTTTCAAATTGTAATTAGTATTTTATTAAATGTAAATAAAAACAAAAAGAGTTTGTCCATGAGCAGGAATCGACGACTTGGGTCAATCAACCATATCTTTCTTTGTCTTTATTAATATATTATTATAATTAAAGTTCACTGCTAATAAATATTATTTGTTTTGTCCAGTTGCTTACTTTAGTTAGCTTCATCCCTAATCGATGTTGTATGTTTTGACTTATTACGTATCTTTTTTTATGGTTATATATCATCGTCAACTTTCGGTTTAAGAACGTTTCTGTCATAGAGAGATTTCCACACACTTAAATATTTTGTTCCCGTCTCCAACCGACAATCCCACAGTTTTAAAATGGGTATGCTACCATTAATTTTCACTCGGTTTCTTCAATTTGTGCAATTAATTTTAAATTAAAAAATTAAACATAAAAAAGTAATTATAAATATTGTAGATATAATGTAAGCTTTGTTTACCATAGGATTATCTCAATCAAAATATGAAGGATTATTTTAGAAGGACAAAATTGTCTAAATTGAAATAGTGAATATATAAAATAATTTTATATTTATAAATGTTTTTTCTGACCTATTCAATAGTGGAAATATTCTACCAATAAAAATCAAAGAATACTTAAATATTCATAAAAAAAATATATATATATATTTTTGTTCATTAACCTAAATAAATAAATAGGTGAATTTATCAATAGCTTCAAACCATTTTAAAAATACTTTTATATTTAATTCTTAATTAATTTTTTTTATTCACCGCTAAACATTAATTATAAAAAATTTAAATATTCAAAATTTAAATTGAATTTTATTTTTTTAGTCTTAATTATTAAATACTTAAAATATTTAAAGTCTAAGTTGATGTTAGAATTGTTCAAATAAGAATGAATGGTTCAAATAAAATCCACTGAAAGATTGTTTAAAAATTAGAATAGAAAATAAAATTTGATTTAAGTTTTGAATATTTAAATTTGTATTAATTTTATTTAGTTTATTATCTACTTTCTAAAACTAATTTTGTTTTCGTAAAAGACTTTGAAAATTTTAAAAAATATATAGTTAAAAATTATTGCTTTTATTTTTACATTTAACTAATAATATAAATATTTATTTGAAAAAGATAATGAGTTTAGTAACTTAAAATTTAAAAAATGGGGGAAAAAATGGAAATTAAAATAGAAGGACAAATAAGTAAATTCCAGTCGCATGGGAATTCCGTGGGGAATGGGCATCTATTGGGCCTGGAATTCCAAAGCGATGCTTTCCTTCTACACGGCGATTTTGAATTTGAAAATCGCGCTGAATTTTCTCGTGTTACATAACAGTCCAATGAATTTTCGACTCAGTTCCACGTCATTCGTCTGTCATCCGTATAAATCCACAGCCCGGTCGCTTTAGTAAACGTTGAGCCAACACGTTTTTTTCCAGAAGCACCCTCTCTTCTTCTTCCCCCTTTCTCTCAAGCTTCCATTTCCATTCAACAAAAACTTTTAAAACCCTAACCTCCATCTCCGATTTTCTTCAATTTCTTCTTTCTCGATTCTGCAATTGTTCAATCCTTGTTATGGCGTCTGCTAATATTTCTTCACGAACGATCGAAATCACTGTGATATCGGGAGAGAATCTGCAAGTCCGTGGAAAGCTGATCAAGAGCGATGTGTTCGTCACTGTTCGATCTGATCTTCACAACAAGAACGACTCTGTAAGCACCAAAATCGACCGCGACGCCGCTGGATTTCCGCGGTGGAACGAGAAGCTCGTCGTCGACCTCCCAATGCACTCCAGGTTTCTGGTTGTGGAGGTTTGTCGTAGATCTTCGGGGCGAAAGATCAATATCGTCGCGACGGCTAGGGTTCCGGTGGCGGATTTTATCGCCGGATACTTGCCGGAAAATCATCTGCAGTTTTTGAGTTACAGGTTGAGAGATGAGAGAGGCGAGAGGAATGGAATTGTTAACTTGTCGGTGAGAGTGAAGATGGCGGCAGGAATTGAGCATTCTTTGCTGCAGAAGCAGAGGATTGGAGCTCCGGTTCCGTTGCCGATGCCGCAAGGAAAATTCCACGGCGGCGGCGGAGTCGTAACCGGTGTTCCGATATGGAGCGTTGGTTATCGAGGTCGATTATAAATTTCTTTTTAAAATACTGAAAATCAATTCTTTTTAAAATACTGAAAATCAATTCTTTTTATACGATTCTTTGTGATGTATATATAAATATATTTGATAAAACATTCTTATTCTTTTTTCTATTTTTCTTATATATATTTTTAAATTCCAAAAGGAATATTCTTTGTTGTGGCGTGTGGCGATAAAAAATCGTGAAGGACAAAATAAATGAAACTCTCTCTTTTTCTCATTTAATTATTTTTAGTGCACAATAAATGAAAATCTAAATTAGATAATAAAAAATATTAATATTATTATCATATCAATGAAAATTTTACCAATTCTGTTCTCTATGTTCTTTCATCGCATACCACCATCTATCTTCTTCTTCTTCTTCTTCTTCCTTCGCATATCGCCGCTCCCTTCTCCTTCGTTATTGTCGCTGTAACTCTTCCACACCAGCGTCATCACAGTTATCCCACCCGACCATCGCAGGACCGCTCGCCCTCGTCGCTGTCTACAACCAACTACAACAAGGAGAGTTTGAAGCATCGTCCCGCTACCGTGACTGCCATCACCAACGTCCGCTGCTGTAGTTACTCGTGTACGAGACCGACTGCAGCCGCTGTTGTCTCATATTGCTAGTAGTACCGTTCGAAAGGGAAAACCCAATGACGCCTAAGTTGGAAGTATCGAGTAGCTAGCCACTACTTGTCACGTGAGGTAATTGCTGATAATTATTTTCGTGACAAATATTACACGTGATGTGTATCGAGTAATCAAACACCAGTGATCACTAAGTTAATTGTATAATAGTTTGCATATCTTCCTTCAACAAAAGTGACAATAAGGGTAGAGAACCTAGTCATGAGACAACTTCACAATTACACTATAATATTAGATATAGTCACGTATTAAAAAAAAAAAATTATACGTCATTAACGAACTCTCGTTAGGTTATGCAATAGAGATTGCGTAATGAATTTGCCTTCAAAATTGTCTATGAGATAATGTCTAAGATTATGAAAGTGAAGTAACTTACCGCACTTCAATAATTGGAATTAAGCATACAGAGGTGTTTTCTCGGTTTAAGATGCTTCCCCATCAAACTTAATTATAAACTTTTAGTGTTAAATAACGTCTTTGACCGACTAGTATGCAGAAGGTTGGTCGCTACATTTTTTATATATATATATATATATATATATATAGATATAGATATGTGAGTATTGTGTATGTAGCATTGTCATTACAACAGTTTACAAGACTTGGAACAAAAACTCAACATTTGTTTTTAGCCTAATAACACACATATACACACGCATATATATATATATACACACACACACACACACACACACACGTACGAACATGAACTACACAAAAGCAGCAGCTTCCGAACAAACTCTCTACACCAGGAGGATCCTTTCAAATATGGTCCCTTCTTTCACTAGCCGTCAAAGCCAAAACATGATGATTTTAAGATTCGTGTCTGTGTTTCATGGCTCGTACACTTCGTCACACTTCTTCGCTACCGGAACCGTTCGGCGTCAAGATGTTGAACTTGCAGAGAGGGCAGGTAGCATTCATGTGCAACCATTTGTCGATGCAGTTGCAGTGAAAATGGTGGTTACAGGGAAGTTCTCGTAGCTCCGTTCCGTTTTCGTAAGCAGAGAGGCAGATGCAACACTCCTGATCATAACATTTTTTGTTAGGAAAAAGAAAGAAACTTGTTTGATTTCAATGTCCGCTCCATCAATTACCATAATGGAGCAGTTTTATGAAAGAATCATGCAGTACTTGAAGAACAGTATTTGAAAAACTTACAGAATCCTCCGAGCGAAGAAAACGCTCTGTCGGTGCATCAGTGTCACATTTAGTCATCATTCCTCCGGTAGATTCTTGAATATCACCATTCACTTTCTCGACATCACCCGTTCTGTTAAATTTGTACTTCGGTAAGCGTTCGATCTCTTCCTTAGTAGCTCCTTCCTGATTGTTGTGGACAGAAATGAAACAGAGTGAGTTCATAACAGCAACAATTAAGCACCATGTATGCCAATTATAAAATGTTAAGCAGATATATCTGCAAGAACATTCTCCATCCTAGACTACACTGTCACGCCCGAGCATAACCCGAAAATAACTCCAACAGAACCTATGTGATCGCTTTATCAATCGAATACTGACTGGCTTCCCGAACCTACACACGACGGAACAAAAACATTTACTTGTGACAACAAGAAGACTATACTAGATGACCAGATATACAAACACTAAATTTATAGTTCAGACATGAGAGAGTGAATCCGAATCGGAACATATTCGAGCATCAACTAGCTTTCCTGTAACAGCCCAAGCCCACAGCTAATAGATGTTGTCCACTTTTGCTGGTTTCGTATTGCCGTCAGCCTCACGGTTTTAAAACGCGTCAACTAAGAAGAGGTTTCCACACCCTTATAATGAATGTTTCGTTCTCTTCTCCAACCGATATAGGATTTCACAATCCACCCCCCTTGGGGATGCTGACACACCGCCCGATGTCTGGCTTTGATACTATTTGTAACAGCTCAAGTCCACAGCTAGCATATATTATCCTCTTTGGGCTTTCCCTTCCAGGATTTCTCTCAAGGTTTTAAAATGCGTCTACTAGGGAGAGGTTTCCAGACCCTTATAAGGAATATTTCGTTTTTCTCTCCCACCGATGTGAGATCTCACAATCCACCCCCGAGAAAGTTCGTTCCATTCTCCAATCGACGTGGGATCTCACATTTCCATTGATAATTAACAAGAATTCACGATAGTCCCTCTTAAAACGCTATATACAAGCAAATGTTTCATCTATAAACAACAACACCCAATAGTATTATGAACATTTACAACAAGCTGAGTCAAAGAAACAATGAACTAAAACCAGAAGATCGAACCAAAGCATATGAAAACGACCTGATCGGTAACCGCATACAAGATGGCAATTATGCAAGGCAGACAGCAGCAAATTGCAACACCAACAAGACACGCAATGGCAACGCAAATCAGAACAAATACGACGTCGAAAGCAAGGAATGTAATACAAAGCCTGCAACGTAAACGAGCAAATCGATAAGAAAACAAACAAACAGAGTATTAAAAGACCATTGGTTTGAGAATTAAGAAACCAGACCAGTATAGCTGAGGTGAATCATCTATCAATTCTTGGCCTCCAGCAGTTACCCAATAAAAGCCCAACAGCCACCAAATGAAAGAGAACATGGTATTTGCAGACTCAATATGCTTCACAAGATTGCTATCCAAAATGTAAAGAAAACAGTTAAAGCTAGATTGATAATCAAACACCCTTATAGCTCAGTATACTGAAAATGGCAAATGAACATTGCCTTTACCTCGGTTCATCGTCATTCACAGTGAGCTCGGTTGCATAATCATCGCCATCGCTTCCGGATATCGAATTTGAATCCTCGCTGCTCGTCCAGCCATCGCTACGGTTCGATCCGACGAGCTCTCTCGTTGAGCGCCGCCGCTTATACTCTGTAGCTACACAGGACATGTGAATTATACACTGCAAAGCATATCCAATGATCCAAAACCTGAGCGGCACTGAAGGTTTTTCACTCGTGCTGAGCCCTATGACAGTGAAACTAATGGCGACGAAGGCCAAGTTCCATAGAAGGTCCAAAAGGATAATCGGCTTTGAGTACGCCCAATCGCTCTGGCGCTCCTCCAGCTGCTCCGCCGCGTTCTCGCGGACACGAACGGAGGATTCTCGAAGCATCATCTGCCGGCCACTTGCACGGCGTAGAAGACGAACCGCTCCGCGAAGAGGTTGAGGCGAACGGCGAATAAACCCTCGCGAACGGAAAAGGCCATCGGCGACGGAGTGCGCGAGCAGAGGCGAATTATCCACCGCACGGATGGGAGAAGATGGCTGTGGGATCGAATTACGCATCCTAACGATTAGAACTTCGAACAGCGAACTTTCTACTTTCAGAGCGAAAATTAGGGCATGCAATCACAAAACTCCAAATATATCATTCAGAAGAGGAAGAAAAGGGGTTTTGCGAAACGAATCAAATTGAACTTATCCTGAACAATCAGAATGAAGGGAATCTGAAATTCCGGGACCGACAGATCAAGAACGGAGAATGAACTGGGACCGCAGAGAAAATTCGGAGAAGATGAAGAATCTGTCAGAGTTGGAAATCGGAATGGAATTGATTGGAGGGATTGAGGAACTTACAGAGAGCTTTTTCAAGAACGAAACGGTGACGAAATGCGACAGAAACGAAGACAACTTTGCACGAAAATCATGAGAATTTGGAAATCATCCGGGGTTCGTTATACGAAAAACTAATTGTCAGTTTTCAGTCAACGCGGATGAACAACAAAAAAATGGTGGAAATTAAAATTTTAAATTACAGCGGAAATCTGAAAATCTGAAAAAAATAAATATAAATAAATAAAAACAAAGCAGGGGAGTGGTTTAATTATTTAATTTTAAATTGAGATTTCAAATTATTTTAGATTAGTTCAATTACATAATTTTAGCCACACTTTGATAATTTAAGTTTTTTGTAATATTGTCACATTCATTAAAAGAAACATATTTAAATTTCAAGTAAAATTCAAAACATAAAATAAAAATTTTAAAACATTTTTATATAATTGGATACGAAGCATACGGGGATATATCATATAAGAAATAATAAATAAAATATAAATAATTATCCACACGTTTTCAACATTTATTTCAATTCTTTAGGAATTAAATAGACATAATATATAAATTTTGAGACCGTAATATAAAATTTATTAACTAAATTATTTGCTTGGAATTTGGCAGTTCTTCCTCCACAATCATTTCAACCTTCATGACACAATTTTCTTCATGAATTGTTAATATATTAAATATAAAATTAAAAGTAAAGATTTATTAAATTTAAATGTTTTTTCGAATTTTAAACAGAAAATTAAAATCTAAAATTAGCAAAATAATCTCTCTCCTCAATGGTGATGATAGTATTTTCTCTCTCTAAAGATACACGTGGCAGATAAGTATTGGATAGGCTATAGTAAATGAAAAGTGAGGGGCATTAAATGAGAGGGTGAGGGGTTTGTCCGAAGGGCAGAGCAGGCATTAAATGCTGCTGGGATTCACATGCACACCCCACGGCGGCCCCACCGCCACCTCCGCCACATCCAGCTTACGCCCCTCGCCGGCCCCACCGCCACCTCTCTCCACCACCTCCCAACTACAT